CTCTCTAACTAATAATCCGGGTTGGAGAAATCACCTCAATTTTGCATGGAATCAAAGAAATCCCTTCGAAAATCAAAATTTTATTCCGCTTCAAACCAGCAATTTCCTAGAGTAAACACCGTTCCATTCAATGCACCAAACAATTTTTAACAATCTAATCTACCTTTTCCAAACCAACATCATCATCCTCATCAACCCATAAATCCTTTAGGTTTTGACCACGAAAAACGTCTTAGTGTCTTATAAAAGGGTTTAGAGGCTATGATTAAAGCTTCTACACAAACCACTAACATGTTCACCCAGTCATCCACCACTCTGAATTCCTTCATGCAAACAACCAGCCAAGTGCTCAACTCGAACACTCAAGTCATAGCCAGGTTGGAAACCCAATTTGGACAACTAGCCAACTTGAGCTGGCAGCTAAAAGAATTATGCACTAAGAAAAGAACCACGAATGTCCCCAAGAAAGTCTTTTTACCTGCCAGTCTCAGTAAAATATTTTCGAAACTCATGCCCTTGAAATATAAGAACCATGTTGTCCTACAATTCCATGCGTTATAGGAAATACTCACATTGATAAGGTACTTTTGAATTTAGGAGCCAGTGTAAATCTCCTTCCTTATTTAGTCTATCAACAGATAAGTATAGGAGAACTTAAACCCACACGATACACCCTACAATTAGCTGATAAATCCGTAAAAATTCCTAAGGGAGAGGTAGAGGATGTTTTGATCAAAGTTGAAGAGGTTTATTTTTCCTGTTGATTTTATTGTCTTGGAAACGTAGCCCGTTTTCAATCTCAAAAGTCAAATCTCAGTTATTTTAGGAAGACCATTCTTAGCAACCTCAAATACTTTGATCAATTGTAAGGCTGGTCAAATAAAACTATCTTTTGAGAATATGACTGTTGATCTTAATATTTTTAACCTAAGAAAGCAGCCCAATGATCCATCTGATCAACCTTTAGAGGTGAATTTTATTCAGAGAATATCCAGTGAACAACAAGAGGAGATGTGAGTTAGATTCTTGTTTATTCTAAGAGTCTTTCGATGATGAATTAGGGTTAGAACCGATGGTCAATCATGTATCTACAATTGGCTGGCAACGTGAACCCTTAGAAATAGAGCCCTGAGTCCAACTTCGCCCATTTGTTGAGAGAACAAGACTTTATTAGTTATCATTTCTTCTAACTTGACTATCGGTCAAAAGGAAGCTCTCTTAGATGTCTTAAGAGAGAATAGCGAAGCCATTGGATGGATCATAGCTGATATCAAGGAAATTAATCCAATCATTGTTCAACACCGAATCTATTTGATAGATGATGCCAAACCTACTAGAGATCCTCAACGGGGCTGATATCAAGGGAATTAATCCAACCATTATTCAACACCAAATCCATTTGATAGATGATGTCAAACCTATTAGAGATCCTCAACGTAGGTTAAACCCGATAATGAAAGAAGCTGTTAGAAAAGACATTCTGAAATATCTTGATCATGGGATCATTTATCCTATTTCAGACAGTTCATGGGTGAGTCCGGTCTAAGTAATTTCAAAGAAATATGGGATCACCGTGATCCAAAATGAGGCTAATGATAATTTGATAGGTTATACTTTTAAATTCTAGAATTACTATATAGTTGTTGTCCTTTTCATGAATAGTAACTTTGCTTAGATGATAATTTGATAGGTTATACTTTTCTTAAATGGTTTGATAGTCTATGCTTAATAAATCTAAAGTAAATATGATTAAAAGAGAATGGTTCATAATTTATAATTAAAATTAGCTAGTGGATTCAATTATAGAGTCCTCGTATTTTTAATTGAATCCTCCATCTTTACTTTTTTGAATTTTCTTTTTATTCTTAATTTTTCATTATTTTTTTCTCTTATTTTCTTTGATTCCTTTCTCTCCTCTCAATTTTATTTTATTGTTTTGCATATATTCATAACACATCATCTCTCTCCACAGTCATACTCAATCATCACCCCTAATTGTCACGCACACAACATAGGAACCGATTCTAATTATCTCTTACAAACACCTTCCTCGTGGAATCGATAATTTTTATACTATAACTTGATTGGTTGTATACTTGTAACCTTTGGACATCATTTAGACCTCAACAATAGTGAAGTTGCAATTTTAGTTACATATTTTGTTAGGTTGTTTTTTAGGTTCTTTGGATGATATCTTTTAGTTATGGGGTCTATTTGATGTTATTCATAGTGCATTAGGGCTTTTTTATAAATAACCTATAATCTCTATTTTGTAGGACAAAGATTAGTTGATGAAATTTTGAGTTTTAGATAAAACATCATGTAAGTTGCTAGGCGTTAAGCCATAAGTTATCTCGTATCGGTTTTGTTAGATCTAAATTCTTCTCCTCCACAAACTTAGTCCGCTAGATTGATCCAAACTTTTTTGGGTTACTGTTCATGTTCACTGAAAATTATCTTGCCTCGACGCCAATCTACATTTTCCTCGTAATTAGCCCCTACGACAATCCACCACCCTTTGACGATCTTTTCAGATCATCCCCGACTTGAACAATAAATATCAAATCTTTTCAAATCAGAGCAATTTAATCCGATCCTCATCAATTACCATGGGTAAATATCGTTACCTCCTTCACAAAATTATTATTTTACTCCATCAAAATTTTGCACTTTATCTTATTTTTATGAATTTGATGGATGTGAGGAGCAGTATGATTTTGAAGTTAGGATTCAAGATTTTGAAGTTATATTTTCTACTTATAAACTGTTAGAATTACAAAAATATTTATATGCTAATTGTAGGCTTAAGGGAGAAGCTCAAGAATTATGGTCTAGAATTATTCAGGTTATCATTCAATTTTCCGCTCATGGGAATCAATGAAATTTTTTATGGAAAGAAGATATTCTTCTCAACCAACTAGAGGATATTATTGTTTCTCTTCAAAGCATGAACAAAGTCCATTGAGTGCGCCAGCACCAATAAGATATGGTCCACAGTTCAAATTTGAGTTCAATAAAAAGCCAGAACCAAAATTAGAGGCAAAATTGGAGATTGAGCAACAATCAGCCTAAGTTTGAATAGGAGAAGGAAGAAGAAGAAGAAAATCAAAAGATAGATTCAAAACACAAGCCTAAATTAGAGTCCAAACCTAAATTAGAGTCTGAACTAAAAACAAAGCAAAAGGTTAACCCAGAGGCTGAGATCAGATCAAATTAAAGCTTGAGTCTAAAGTTGAATTGCAGTTCGAGATGTCACCGATCTGTAATAATTCTGTGATAATTCAATAACAGAGTTTATCATTTTAGATCCTCTGCCACTTGCTCGTTATTAATTATGGAGATAATTTTAAAGACCATGCGGTGCATACAACAATACCATCCACCGATCACAAGAATTTTCATGCTCTCCCATTATAAAACGCAAGGTCGAGTTTTCAATAACAAGGGAAATTTTGACGCAGGAAAAGTTAAGATTGAGTTGATTTTATTTAGTAAGTTTGTTTGAATTTTATTTAGGAGATTTTATTTTAGTTAATAAAAGAATTGAGTTGGAAAGTTTACTGTTTTGTTGTTTTTGTTAGATATTTAGTAAGATATTTCAGTTTTATATTAGATAAGATTTCAGTTATTTGATGTTATCATCTAGTATTAAGTTAATTGTAATAAATAAATGTAATTTTCCATTAGGAAAACACCATTGATGAATGAGAATATTTGAGTTTGAGAAAAACCTCTCTTATTGGTTAGGCGTGAAGCCAAATATGTCTTTATTCTTTTATTACCCTGTTCTTTATTTCTCTCCTCAAAGTAATCTGCCTCCCATCACTGTTCACTAGTAGTATTAACCATCACCGTTTCCTTCACGATAACGTTCACACATTACTGTTTAAGTGAGGGCTCGTCTTTGTCGCCGATCGAATTCTACAAGTTTTCCCATAAATTTCTCCAAACAACTCCCACCGATGCCAACAAAGTTCTCTGAGATAAATCCAATCAAAATTGATCATCTCCCGTCCTCCACCAGAAATGGAAGAGAATTTGCGGGAAGATGAGTTGATCTTACAACAAGTGTTTATGTGTCATCTTTCATGTTTTTCTAAATAAACATACTACATATTTATTGAGAAGAGAGTAATTCTTGTTAAACTAAAAACACAAGGCTTCATTGATGTACAAACATCATGTAGTCGAGGATGAAGACACTAAAATCTAGGAAACATGATCCATTCCAAATCATTTGGGGATTTGTCCATGTACTAAAAACTTTCCCAATGGGGGCACCTGTCCAAATAGATTTTAAATTTTAGGCAGAAAAAAGAAATTCATCATAAAAGTTACAAAAACTTGATAAACAATTTCAGTTTGTATTAAAATTGCTCTATGGACTAAAATTTCTAATGAACAACATGTGTGCGCAAATGTTGACGTTACTTCAAGGAGGTACCAGACCAGTGCTCTTAAAAATGTTGCTACCATACGAGTCAAAGTTATTCACAAACAAAAGTCAATTTCGTCATTTCTTGTGCGATAAAGAACAGATGTATTTTTTGACAGTTGTATACTTGCTTCATTGTGATTGCAAGAAAAATTCTATTATTGCGAAATAATGCAAGTTCAGCTGCAGATATATTGTAATATAAATTGATGGTTGCAAATAGGACAAGTTTACTTGATGGTTGTAATATAAATTGATGGTTGCAAAAGTCAAGTTCGTCATTTCTTGTGCGATAAAGAACAGATGTATTTTGACAGTTGTATACTTGCTTCATTGTGACTGCAAGAAAAATTCTATTATTGCGAAATAATGCAAGTTCAGCTACAGATATATTGTAATATAAATTGATGGTTGCAAATAGGACAAGTTTACAAATAATATCACCTGAAATACAAATTTATAATACAAAACCAAGTGTCCACTAAAATAAGCATACTGCATTAGTACTTGGTTAGGATACATAACAAAAAGAACACAAATTCTTCGAAGAGATTATTGCAAGTACCTGACTCAGAAGACCTCCAAATCTATTTTTCAGTGTCATCATTTTTGCCAAACCCTTCTCCAAGGTTGATGGAAATTGCAATAATCTTAATGTGTGACCTGTTGGAGCTGTATCAAACACTATAATGGAGTAATCCATGGTTTGGACTAATCTGCACGACATACATAAACATAAATAACTATGAACAAATGCAAACAATAGATTACAAAATGATAACAACATATAAATGATAAGATTAATAAAAATACAGCTATTAGTAAAGCACCCAAAATTTCTTATAAACGTTAATATGAAAAAAGAAATTAGACAAGCAACTAAAACATTACATTTACGAGATAATATTACTCAAAGTAAAAGAAAAGCTACGAAATTACAAACAAAAAAATCACTATAATATCACGAAAACAATAGGATAAACCTGAATAATATAGATAATCTAAAACACCAACAAAACAAAAAATAATTATGAAAAATGTCCAGATAATGCTAACAAAATAGAAATGTGTAGAATGTTTTATGAATATTAAAACAAAATTTTATGTTCGTGCCCCTAAGTTTGTTAAGTTTAACAACAAATTCATTTGTATGCTCCTCGATGCAAGTTATATTATTAATTTAAAATTCACAACCTATTTGAAATTAATACCACACCATATAGAAGATTAAGGAAAGAAATGTGATGTTCAAAATTTTTACATAACTAATATGGATGCCTAAAAAAACTAATGAAAAGTTATAATTTAATTTAAAGATCAATAGAAATTGAAAGGATTAACGCAAAAGGGTCAACGGACTTTTTGGAAAAAAAAAATCATTGGCTAAGCGACAAAAATGGCAAATTTTCAAGTATGCATATTCAATTACCGTCGGATCGAAAGCCCATACAAATCACAAATTTTGAAGAATGCATATTAAATTGCCAAAGGATTGAAAGGAAAGGTAATGGACCAGAATCATTAGCTATAGCTATAGTCCATTACAATCGCTACTTTTGAAGTAGCATATTTGATTGTCCTTTTGGGGTAAACAAACGAAAATTGAAAAAAAATGGGTTATAGTCCAAGAAAATAACAAAATTTAAAATACGCACATTTAATTTCTATTGGGTCGACACAAATGAAAACGAACAAATACCATGTGTTAAACTTTGAAGTATGCATATTTACTTACCTTTTGGACGAAACAAACTAAAAATGACAAAAATCTTGGTTTATAGCCAATGAAAATCATGACTTTTGAAGTACGTATATTTATCGTGGGTTATGGTATCCTGTTTGCATCCTTGCAGCCATGCTCTCTAGTTCTTTCGACATATGAAACAAACATCTTAAGAAGCTATCCACTAATTCACATACCATACAAATGCAAGATTCGTTACATGAGTTTAGTATAACATGTTTAATGTTTTCCCCTTCTAATCACAAGTTATCCAGCAACGATGAACGTAAATCAATAGATGCGAAAGTTCCTAATATATCAAAAACGTTTATCTATAGTAATGATCATTGAGAAGTTCATATTCGTTATAATTTCCTACAAAAATGCTAGTTCAATTTAATTGTTAAATTTTTATGTACATCCAAATTAATAATTGATTTATTATTAAATATTTCTATAAAAATTATTGTTGAAGTACAGTATTATTTATTAATTATTTCATTTCTCAAATTATTTAATTATCATTAATAATATTTTTATAATTTCTTAAAAGTTTATGTTGTTGTAAGGGCATCATTAGAAAACAGTATTTCATTCTCACTTGAGAACAAGGTTTTAAATATCGGTTATCGGGGATTTATCGGACGGTCAAAATCCTTATCGGATAGCGAAAATCGGGGATATATCGGGGATAAGTAGTAATTATCGAAGTGATATAGTGGATGGTGTATATATAATATAATAACTAAAAAATATAATCTAACCACACTTAATGAAATATAAACATCAAATTTTATGCCTAACATCAGTCAGTTCTATTTTGTTGCAGATTTGAGATCAAAATAACATCAAGATTTCAAGAAATGAAGTAAGGAAAAGAGGAAGACAACTTAAAATAGCAATTGTAAACTATCTGCAAATCCAAGTTGTAAAACTAATCAATGTTAAGTTGTAAAACTAATCAATGTTAGTCGCAGTGAAGAGTGAACAGTGATTCGACGAAACTCAGAGATTATTGACCAAGTTATAAACTTATAATTAGCTAAAGTAGTTGCATTGAAAAATTAGTTGTAGTTAAAACTAATTGCTCAAAATTAATTGTAATTACAATTAAATTTGCTTATACAGTCTCACAAGTATTTTCTTAAAATTAATTACAAGTTTTCTATAAACTAATTGCAGTGAAAAAACTTATATTGATTAAAAATTAGTTGCAATTAAAAAAACTTATATTGAGATAAGCAAATGAATAAGTCACAATAATACAGTCTCACAACAAGTCTCTATAAACTAGTTGCAGTTAAAAAAATAGTTACAGTTATACAAGACTTCTATCAAATTTCTTATACAAGTCTCACAACAGAAATTTTTATAGAAAAGATTAAAAAGAAAAAAGATACCTGTTTGAGTAGATACTTCACTGAGATTCTTCACAAGTCAAGTCACAAGTAGATAATATCTGTTTAAAGAACAACAAAAATCAACTTAAAAAATAGAAAACATCCGCTAGCCAGAGATGAAGGCGAGAAGAGAAGAAATGATACATGTTCGAAGGCAAGGCAAGCGAGGTTCGCTAGAGATTCACGAAGGCTAGACCGCACGGGATTCACGAAGTCGAGGTGAAGTTCGCTAGAGATTCATGAAGGCGAGACCGCACGAGGTTCACAAAGTCGAGACGAAGTTCGCTAGAGATAGTCGAGGCGAAGTTCGCTGGAGAGTGGAGATTCGCGAAGGCGAAGTTCGCTAGAGAGTGAAGATCCACGAAGGAGAATCACTGGAGATCACACAGAGAACAGCCGCCAGAGACGAATTTAGGGTTTGAAGGATTCACAAAGGACGGGTTTGAGTTTTCATTTTATTGTGAAAACGGGTCGGGTCGGGTTTAATACCCCATTACCTCAACAACATAACTCAAATGACCACCGATAAACCCGATAATTTTTTCTCTGTTATCGGGCGATAATTCGCCGATAGATAATTGCCTTTATCGGCGAATTATCGCCAATAATTTGTCCAAAACGATAACCGATTACAAAATGCACTTATCCTATCGGCAAGCTAAAAAATCTGATATATCGACGATAATATCGGATTATTGGCCGATATTTAAAACACTACTTGAGAACAAAGGTCAGGAAACGTGGTAATAAGAATGAGGTCGTCAGTCCTCTCTGTTTCCTAATAGCACCAAAATGTGAGAATGAGCATGCTCACATTTATTACATTCATTACTTGCTTCATTTCATTCTCACTTGCCTTTGTTCATGTGTACCAAGCGAGGTATAAAGGAGTTAAGAGGAATTAGTTAAAAATGAGGGGTTGACGTACATGGATAAGAGGTCAACCCTTTTATTTAGAAATTACTGATAACCTTTACTATCAACACTATGTCACCATCAAGTATAGAAAGATTAAGTATTGACTTTAACTAACAGGTTAAGCAACTCGCTTTTTTCCTTATTTTTGGTCAAATAAGTTAACTAACTTAGACCTTTATCTAAACCTTCCCTACTAATCCATTTCCAAACAATAGAGCTTAGGGTAAAAATGACACATTTCAGCAAAGGCTTTCTCACCATGAGTGATTTTAAGTAACATCTGTTTTTTATTTTGGTTCAAATAACATAGATACTCAGTATCCATGCTTTAATAAACTTACAATTGGCTACTAATTAGTAGATTCTACAAAATTTTAGTTAAAAAGGTTAACAGAAAAAAGCGCTACCAAGTTGAACGAGTTCAAACATGTCATGGTCAATTCAGCTCCACAAGACATCAGCTATATTTTGTCGAATTGATTTGATATAGCCTCAAGTTCAACACACTCATTTCTGTTACATGAATAGAATGGTTTTTGTCAAACTTAACAGTTACAATGTTGACAATGTGATGGACATATGGTTGACTGATAGACCTGGGTACTATCGCCCAATTGTTGATAGATCCCTTGTAGGTGCTGATAGACCCCTTGTATTATTTGGCCGAGTGCGGATAGACCCTTTTGAGTGAAATTCTTTGACTATTAAAAGAGTCAATAGAATCAATAGAACAACAAGGTTCTATTCGCAATTAGGCTATGGTATAGGGGGTTTATCTGCAATTGTCCAAAAATTTGATACGTATATCCCCATACAAACATAAAAGAATGAGTACTTTATCCCAATCTTTGAGAAAATTGCCGAGTTCGCATAGCATAACTTTTGACTTATAGCAAGTGTCATGTAGTATTCAACATGAAAATGCTCTGTGATGTCCCAATAGACTGACAAACTTGTATTGTATTGATACAGAACTTAATTGGAACCATGCATGGAACCGGTTTCAAGACAACCATTAATTCTGTAATCTTCAAACACAACCGCTTCTAGCTCCAGCTCGTCAAGAGAAAGCTTTGCAACTTCTAAATATCAGCACCATTAAACAATTCAAATTCATCTCCACCAATATCTGACATCCTTGTCTCCCTTTTGGAATATTCTGAGGATCTCCTTGAAAGAAGATGGAAATTCGCATGGATATATACCATATCTTCCGTTCGTTGTGGATTCAATACATTTCTTTTTATAGAATAAATAAAGTTATAAGTGCTCCAATTTCTCTCACAACAAGACGAACATGGATGCCCAAGCAACTTTAGTGCCAAATCTTGCAATGTTGGTGTAGAATTCCCATAGCCAACACACCATGACTTGGGGTCCATTAATCCCCTACCATAGGAGGAGTCATGATCCACAAATAAATCTAATGAGGCGGAAAATTTAGCAAATTCCATGTTAACCATCCGCCGTTCCTCAGAATTGGGAAAATACCCCTTAGAACATTTAGCTCTTTCAATGGAGATCTCGGGTTCCTTGTGCTGTGCAATTCTATTTGGAGCATCCCTTAGCCATTGCACACGATAATACCTAGAATATACACACCACATTCCTAATGAATATCAACTATTAAACAATAGCCAATAGAAATTAAAAGGTTAGTTGAGAATTAAGAACTCACTTTGGGCTTAGGGAATAAGCCAAACAATGCAAAGGTGTGCTGCTATTGTTCCATCAATCCACTAGAATAGAATGCACCACATTATAAAATGATGAATATTCATCATCTCTCTTGCCCTCTTTTCTATAGATTCAACTCTTCACCTTTTCAATCATAGAATCTCATATATCATAAACTAAATGAAGAATAGGTTTGTCGGTGTCGGCGAATCTAAGCATGTTGTACATAGGCTTTGTAAAAGAAATGATGTATTCTATCTTGTCCCACCAAATATCATTCAATACTTTTCTCTTGGCAAAATGAGCCTTCTCAACATCATCATCTCGATATTGATTCTAAACCTCACTAATCACCAAGTCCATGAGGCCACATTTGATCTCCTTGAATCGTCGCAACATAGTAACCACCGAAGCAAAATGAGTTTTGGCGATAACAAGTATTTTCAACCTCACGTGGTTATTGAACATTAACAATCTCATGGAGTGATTCATTATAAAATTTCTATTGGACACGTCTTATTTAACATCGCTGATCCAACCACATTCCTTATACACTACCTCATTTCTTTTGGTACTCTTTACCGTACATAATTTTTAGAGCAAAATTTAGTGCATAGACCACACATGGAGTCCAAAAAACATGAGGATATCTTACTTCTACAATGTTGCCCGCGGATTTGTAAACCAGTGTGCTATCGGAGATGACTTGCACAACATTATGATGACCAACCTCTTTAATATAAACCAGTGTGTTATTGGTTAGTGTAATTTTAGTGTAAGTGGGATAATTTTTAGGATTTTATTTTACAGTGTTATTCATTGGGATAATAGGATTAGGATAAGGGTGGGCGTGAGCCAAGCCA